AAACAAGCACAGTGTTATACACCCAGCCAGGACTCACTCTGTTACGAGACGGCCAGAGAATCAATGCCATCCGCTCACGGCACGCGTTACAGCATCACTGCAAAGTCCTTGCTGCCTGAGTGGGAAGCGTTACCAAGTCACTCGGAATAAAATTGCCACTAAATGCTGTTTGGGGGAGAGAGAAAAAAAAAAAAAGCAAAAAAAAAAAAGCAAATCCTCGCTCTTCCTCAGGCATTGTAGGAAATGAAAATGGCTATTGCTGCCTGGTAGAGAGTCCAATTACGAATAATGTGCGTTCTCTCCCTGCACAAAGGATGAAAGGCATCAGAGCTGGTGGTGACATTTTAAGAGCGGAGATGTAAGAGCGAATCCAAGCCTCATTGCAAGCCCAGCTTTACCCCAAGAAAGAAATGCTTTCTGCAGTCAATTGCTTTGCAGTGCAGCTTGAAGCCCCGCTATTGATCTAGCATGTTATAAGCAGATCATCATCGTCACTGTGCTGTGGCTTCTACACCGGGATCTAAAAGCACTTTCCAGAAGACGGTTGAGGGTTGATTTTTCTGCTCTCACCCACAGTTGCAGGCAGGCAGAGGTTTGTGGGAGAGCCCACAAAACTCTCGCAGGTTTGCAGAATTTGAAGGCCAGAAAAAAAGAATTAATCACTCCAACTTGTTAATCTCCCAACCCAGTAAACTTCAGCTAACCGACGTGTACTCCCTGCAAGGCTCTGCCTGGCCACTCCAGCCCCAGCCCTGCAATTCATACCCTGCAATTTCCTTTCCCCAGTGAAGTGCTAACATGCTGCCATCAAGCCCCAGCTAAATCCTTCCCTTCTGCAAGACAGACAGCGAGAGCTGCTGAAATCCCCCAGCATTAGGCATTTTTCTCCTGTTCCCAAAAGGTTTCTCGGAGTTTGGCTCACTGAGGTCTGAATCCCAACAGCTCCCAAGCTCCTGGCCACTTCCCAGCAGCGTGGGGAGGTTTTGGGCCAGGCACCTTCCTCCGAGTTTAGCAAGAAGTGGTCAGAGGTAGGTGAAATTGGGCTGCCAGCACCTGCAAACTCCCCCCCTCCCCGCCAGCACAAGCACTTCTTATCCACTTGGCAGATTCCTCCAGTCTCCAAAGGAGAAAAGGATGGGAAATTAAAAATAAATGAACCAAGAGATACACATCCATCAGGAGCCAGGCGTTGTCAGCCCAGGTCCCTGTGCAACTACTTCTTTAATCAAAACCTCACACAGTTTAAACACTCGACAGAAGTCTAGAACACAGATCTTGTTACCCTGAACAGGAAAAGCTGCAACCTTGAAGAATACAATCACGTTTGCCTGATGGAGGGGTCTATTTTCTTCAAAATCATGCTAAATTCCGCTAAGACTGTTCCTAACCATGCCATCTGAGGTTTCGCCTTGCAGATTCCTGCAGGATGCATGGGTGTTTCGAGGGGGTCACAGGAGGTGATGGGAGGAGCAAGCTCTCGGGTGGCAGCTGAAAATGTGCCATTTCTAAATCGGTCCATGACGCCAGCTGTAAATTTTTAAGAGGCTCAAATCAAGAAAAGAATTGCTGATGGATGCGCTCCGCACTTGAAACTCACTTGCGTGGTGACAGACGTCAGACTACCTGGCTCATGGCTATGCCACTTGCCTGTTTGCTCTTGAGTGTCAGAAACCTTCCAGCTTTCTAGAAACTGCCCGTGTGCCAAGGCTCAGCGAGCTCTTTAAAGCCTCCCGCATGCAGGTTATCTGCCTCTCCTGGCTTGAAAATGTTTGTCCCCGAGGAGCTGTTATTTAATACCTTCCTTAGTTACCAAGGGATGGGAAGTTTCTCCCACCGTTCTGCGGCTTTTCAAACACAGATGGGATTTATTGAAGTTTCTGCCGCTCTGACCTCATTAATGTTTTACGGCATGGCTCCAGCGATGCGCCTACTCCTCACCAGGTGCCCCTCAACAGCCCCATGGTGGCTCAGGTCTCCTGGCTGTGTTGAACATCCCTGGGGAGTTTTAAATGACTTCATCCCCAAAACGGCTCTGCTGCTGCCTTTCAGGACCTCGCCTGCACCCTGCTTCACACGGGACCGTGGCTCCCCGCAGCTCCTTTCATAACAGCCGCAGCGGGTGGGAAAGCAGAGGCAGCATGAGGAGGAGAGAGGGAAAAAAAAAAAAAAAAAAAAAAAAGGAAAAAAACAGAGGATAGTGCAGGAACACATCCAAGATGTGCCATGGATGACATAACCTGGGGGCCACCTGGGGACAGGTGGGATTTTAACTGGCATGGAGAGGGGGAAGCAGAAGAGGGGGCGCGAGCCCTGGATTTTGTGGGAAACCCAGCAGGCGACCCTGGGGTGACATTCATGGTATCCGCGGCACATGCCTGCAGGGAGGATGGTGAGAATTTGGAGTCCTGAGGCCTTTTTTGGAGAGCTTTTCACCCCTGTGGAGAACAGGAGGGAGCATCAGCACAGCCTGGCTGGAGTCGTGCGAATTGCCCCACTTAGGCTCTGGTCCTCTAAATTGCTCTCTTAACCAAAGTACATAAATCGACCTGACAAGCATCAGGCTTTTCTCCAGAGCCACACTCCCCTGCAGCCTTCAGGGTTCATGCTTCAACCTCAAACTCTGCAGGTTTTGACCCAAAAAACATGCCTGGTGCTTACCAGGGCAAACGCCTGGCTATGCTCGAGGCCTTGAGATGCAGATCTCCGTTGGCCAAGCACCACATGGAGCCGGGGTTTCCCCATCACATATTTATTCAGAGATGCCGCACAGCGAAGACAACCCAGCGCCAAACTTTGGAAGAGGCAGACCTGGCCGGAGTTCAGCAGAAACGGGGAATTAAGACACTGAAGTAAATCAATGCATCCCCACCCAATTTCTACCCAAAACAGGAATTTCATGCACAGGAGGGTTTTTGACCAGGGTCCCACATTACTTATTAAGCACAGAGAGCAGAGAGTGCTTGGCATGGCACAGAAATCCAGTCTTGCACTAAAGCTCTTGCAAGCCCAAAGTAATTCAGATGCAGAAGCAATTTCAGCTGCTGGGAAGGAACTCAAATAGCAAAAGACAAAGAGAGCCTGTGCAGGGATGGAGAGAAAGAAAGAAGAGCTGCTGGCTGGGTGCAGGCAGGGGACGCTGATCACATGGAAAGAAGGGTGGGGAGGAGGTAAAGGAAGCAGGTCAGGGAAAATCCAGGGATGGCTGGGGCCACTTCTGCTCAAATGCACCAGGTAGTGGGGGCTTGCACAGGGCTGCAGGTCCCACAGCTCCCCCCCACCGTAAGAGCCTTCCAGCAATGCCTGGTGTGAGCTGTACACCACGACTGGCAGAGCCTGAAAACCCCGGGGAGATACTGGGGGGCCTGGGCAGAGCAAGCACATGGACTGCGAGAGCCATCCGGCCGGTCACAGCCGGGGAAACATCTAGTGCCACGCTCACCTCCCCAGAGCTTTCCACCAACACACCAGCTCAGGTTGCTCACTGCAAACCCATGCAGAGATGCCTTCTGCTCCCAGGCGCAGGCCCTGCACGTCTTGCTTGCAGTGCCACCTGCCGCCAACGGCAATGCTCTTCAGACACTGGAAGGGGACAACAGCAACGCAGAGCAATGAACTTCCTGCTGTTACATCAGCTTTCCCTGTCCTTTAACAGCAGCCAAACTCTTGATCCAAGAAGCAACGCTATTTCCCAAGCTGCAGGCGTCCCACGAGTCGCAGGCGTAGCAGCAGACGCTAATAAAGTACTTTTTTCTTTCCCTTTTATGCAGTTTCTTGCTGGAGCCAGTCTCTCCCCCCAGAGACCACATCCTGAATCTTCTTGTTCATTGATTCTTTATGCTAAATGATGACTCCGCAGTCGAAATAATGTGGCATATTCTATTTCGTATTTCAGACACCGTGAGACTTTTTAATAACGAGTTGCATGAAAAATTAGGGAGGCTGCAACAAAGAGCTCCGACGGAGGTTTCCAAAGTGACTCACAGCCAGGAGAGCCTTGATTTTCCAAAGCCCAGCGTGAGACAATCTCAAGAGCCCCCGCGCTCTGAGGGAGCTGAGTCCTCCCCCTCTGGAAAAATAAGGCCTTTTTAAGGAGACTTCCCCGGGGTGAGAATCCCTGCGGGGAGGTCTGGCAAGCGGTTTTGGCAATCTTGGATGAGATGACATCCCGTTCCCGTGTGCGCTCGTGGGGAGAAGGTTTCACTCCGGACCTCAGCTGTGCTGCCGAGGGTGCTGCAGGGTGGGAGTCACCTCAGGCTGCAGCCAGCCTGGGCTCCCCGCTTGGCACATTGGCTCTGCAACACTCCAAAATGGGGCTGGCAATGATTCTCACTGCTCTTGCAGGGAGGTGGCAAACCGCAGCGGTATAGGGCAGCGGAGACTCTTCCAATCTCGGCTCCCGAAAAGCTACAGCACCCACAGAGACAGCGAGCATCACCCGTGCACGGGTACCCCTGCTCCTGCTTCGGGCTGGCTTGCTGCCGGCTCTGCAGCTCTTTGCCAGGCTTCGCAGCATGATGGAGGGGGAATTTCTTCAGGTTAACTTTTGTCTGATTGTTTTTGCTTCCTGCCATCCACACAACCAGCTGCCAACATATTTCAAGGGGAAGCAGCAGGCAACGTATCCAGTGCAGCTCCCTGCCTGGGGGTTAATGCCGTTTATGCTCAGTCCCAGTAGCGACCAGTGCCTGGTTGCTGGGGTCGGAGGTGCGGCAGGAGGTGGCTGAAGGGCAGGTTTGATTGCTCTGCCCCCTCTCCCAAGCTCAGCTCCTAATTCCTTCTGCACCTTCAGCCCCTCTGTGACACCCATCACAGCCAGCCCTCTCTCTGCAGCGCAGCTCCGCTTCTAATGCCTAATAGCCGAGCACTGCTCGCCCCACCCAGCCCAGCAGACTTCCCCAAAAGAGATTTTTTTCCTCCAGTGTGGCCTAAAGGAGATCCCCATGTAGCTGGCAAAGGAAAGCTAAAAATAACAGGGCGGCCAGCGCGCAGGCAGCTCTTACCACGTTCCAGAAGAGCGGGTTGAAGGCGATGGAGAGGACAGCTGCAATGAAGCCAGAGTCGGTCACGTCCACGTAGCCGAAGAGCCACGCCATGGCTGTCACATCCACCTGCGGGGGGGGGGAGAGCCAGTTACTGGGGGTGCGGATCGCTGCGAGGGCACGGGGCGTCGCGCCCGAATACAGGGTGCTTCATCTCAAACCAAATGCATCAGCTGCCCTGGCAAGAGCAAACGAACCTTTTAACGGCCCCAAGCAACGCGTTGTTACGGCTTGCAAAGTGCTGTGTCAGGGTGCGAAGCCAACAAGAAGGACGGGGGGTCCTCCAAGGCATCTCCCCCCACACACCTCAAGGGCACAGGGCTCTCGGGGAACCCCATATTTGCAGCCGTGCCCGGGAGGACCCAGGAACTGCAAGGACACTGCTGCTGTGAGGACGAGCACCAGCGCTACAGGGGAGCTGACAACCCAAGCGTGTTTCCAAGCCACAGGACAGGGAGCACCATTTCACAGTGCCTCGGTGTCCCCGGGGATGGAGGATTGTCCCAGGGATGCTGGTCTGAGTGGAAACTCCAAACAATGAACTGTGTCACCCTCAAACTTGCCTTCCGTAAAGTAAGACTGATGCAAACGCCCTCCACAGTGAGGGGGGATGCATTTGCATTGTAGGAAGCCACAAAAGGCATTCCTGTCTTAATTAATGACAACAACAACCAAAACCCCTTGAAGCTTGCTGGTTTTCCTCCCTTTCTCCTTTTAAGAAAGCGATATTTTTCCCAGGAAGGCTCCCTGACATTGTCAGCATTTTTACGTGCAATAAGCCATGCTGCACCTCCCTCCCCACCCCCTCTCCCCGAAATGGTATTTGGATGAAAAACAACCAGCGCCTTTTTTTTTTTTTTTTTTTTTGCCAAAAACTTTGAAAACAAAAGACAAAATAGCCCAGCCCAAGCCCTTCCTTTGCTTGAAACAAAATCAAGACAACATCGAGACGTGGAAGGATTTTGCTTCCCAAACACAGCTGTGTTTGCAAGTCCTTCAGATGCCAGGGGACAGGAAAGGCTTGAAAAGGCATCGGCTCTACCTCACCCATCCAGGAGAGAAATTCCCACTGGCTCCTCACGGGTTCTTCGAAGGAACCGGAGATGCAGTAGGATTCATGGAGAGAGGCTGCTAAAGCTACTGTCTCTCGTAGCCAAGTGGGAATGGTTCCTGCACTGTCCTGGGGCACGTCCAGCTGTGCCGGGTGCCTCCTGCACGGCCACGACTGCCCGCGGTGCAAAGTGCACGAGCAAAGGCCATAACGCCCTGAGGAAATGGTGGGGATCCTCACAGGGGTCCGTGGCTGCCTTTAAACTGCCCCAGCTCCCCCGGGCTCCTCCATCCAAGCCTTTGGGACATGGATGCTGGCGAGGAACGATGAGAACAGCCCCCAGGGCCGGTTCCTGAGCCATCTCCCCCTATTCCCACTCTCCCTGGCCTCCCCCTTCACCATCAGACCTCGTCCCTTCACAACAAGCACTGTCAAGCCATACCCTGGGCACCCAGACAGCCGCTGGCGCCGGGGTCGAACTGTCTGGTCCCTCTTCAATTGCAAACCCGTGGGACCAGGACAGTTCCTTTCTTCTTGTTTCGTACGGCGCAGAGTGCACCGCCAAGCACAGGCTGAACAAAAGCTTCTTGACCTACTAACTCCCGGCTGGCAACGTTGTTAACATTGCACTCACCTTCTTTTCTCCTCCTCACCGACCAAATTCGCTGCTGCCAGCGGGAGGTAGGTTGGCCTGTGACTCCTATGTGCTTTTAGGGGTAGAAGGGGAACCCATTAGGATGATCTGTCGGGACAGTGAGTAACGGTGGCAAACGCTGCCCGTCTGCCCGTAGCCTCAACATCAGGGAGGGTGAGAGCCGCATGGACACCCGGGTGGGAGCTGCAGGGCCACCCAGGCACCTGGGTGGGAGCCAAACGGGCACCCAGGAACCCAGGTGGGAGCCACATGGGCACCCGGGTGGGAGCTGCAGGGCCACCCAGGAACCTGGGTGGGCGCCAAATGGGCACTCAGGTGGGAGCTGCATGGGCACCCAGGAACTCCGGTGGGAGCTGCATGGGCACCCAGGTGGGAGCTGCAGGGCCACCCAGGAACCTGGGTGGGTGCCAAATGGGCACTCAGGTAGGAGCTGCATGGGCACCCAGGAACTCCGGTGGGAGCTGCATGGGCACCCAGGAACCCGGGTGGGAGCTGCAGGACCACATGGGTGGGGGCCACATGGGCACCCGGGTGGGAGCTGCAGGGCCACCCAGGCACCTGGGTGGGAGCCAAACAGGCACTCAGGTGGGAGCTGCATGGGCACCCAGGAACCCGGGTGGGAGCTGCATGGGCACCCGGGTGGGAGCTGCAGGGCCACCCAGGAACCTGGGTGGGCGCCAAATGGGCACTCAGGTGGGAGCTGCATGGGCACCCAGGAACTCCGGTGGGAGCTGCATGGGCACCCAGGTGGGAGCTGCAGGGCCACCCAGGAACCTGGGTGGGTGCCAAATGGGCACTCAGGTAGGAGCTGCATGGGCACCCAGGAACTCCGGTGGGAGCTGCATGGGCACCCAGGAACCCGGGTGGGAGCTGCAGGACCACATGGGTGGGGGCCACATGGGCACCCGGGTGGGAGCTGCAGGGCCACCCAGGCACCTGGGTGGGAGCCAAACAGGCACTCAGGTGGGAGCTGCATGGGCACCCAGGAACCCGGGTGGGAGCTGCATGGGCACCCGGGTGGGAGCTGCAGGGCCACATGGGCACCCGGGTGGGAGCTGCAGGGCCACCCGGGCGAGCTGGCGGCAGCACCCACGGGACTTCCGTGCGGCGCCCGGTGCAGCCCTTGCCCCACGGTCGGAGCCTGGCCGTCGTGGCCTGGGCAGACACGGTGCACCCCGGGGGGTACCGAGCGGCCCCGGGGGCTGCCGCACCTGCAGGTCCAGCCCCAGGAGGGGGGGTCACCCCCACTAGCTCGGTGGAGCCCCGCGATGGCACCGGGAGAGGCCCGGGCTGTTGAGGAAGAAGGCGGGGGGGGAAGGGGGATCCGGCTTCAGGCCTCCCCCCGCAGCCGAGCGGCAGCGCCCCAGGCCGGGCCCCGCTCCCCGCCCTCCCTCCCTCCCCGGCCCCGCCGGTACCTGGCCGTACTCCAGGCCGCCCAGCCCTTCGCAGCACTCCCGCGGGAAGGGCCGGCCCCCGCCCGCCGCCTCCGCCGCCCGCCGCCCCGCGCCCGGCCCGGGCCGCCCCGCCATGGCGTGGGGCCGGGGTCCCCCCCCCCCACCGCCGCCTCTTCCTCCTCCTCCTCCTCCTCCTCCTCCTCCTCCCCGGCCCGGCCGTGGCGCTGACGGGAAGCGTAGTCCCGCCTCCGCCGGCGGCAGGGCCCCGGCAGGCCGCGGCGGGGGAAGACACTGACCTCGCCGCCGGCCCGGCCGCCTCCGTCGCGGGGCTGCGAGCGTGTGTCCGTGGCGGGAGGGCGGCCCGCGGCACCGGCGCTTGGACTTCGACCCTGCCCGGTGAAGCAACCGGGCCGCGGGTCGGGCTGGCTGCCCCCCACCCCTGAGGGTGGTGGTGGTGGTGGGGGGGGTGTGTGTGAGGGAACGGGGCTTCGCCTCAGCCGGCGTGGGGCTGACCGCGGGGGCCGTGCGTGGACCCCCACGGAGCGGGGAGTGGGCAGAAAAATCGAGGGGACAGCGGGGGCAGAGACCCAGCCCCTGCCCCCCCCCCCCCCAGCGCTCCCGGCAGGGCCCGGAGCTGGGGGGGGGTGGAAAACGGCTCCGCTGTTCTTCTGGTGCTGGGAAAGCTGTGGAAATTAAATGCTGCGTGCCCGGTGTTACTCACTCCAGGGCAAAACGTAAAGCCGTCAAGCCTGGATGCATTTTAAAGTCAATTGATGGCAGCCCTACCGCCGTCAGCAGGTGTAGTATATATATATTGTTTTTATTGCTGTTATTATTCCTACTAATATTATTCCTCATCTTCACTCCTCTCTAGGATGTTTCTAGTTAACGCAGCTCATGGGCTGCAGTCCCGGACCAGCCCGTGCGTGGGAAATCGGGTAGTATCACCTCTGCATGGGCCACCCGCTCTTGCAGACCCTCCTTTGAAGGGAAATAAATGCTCTTTGAAAAGAGTTTGACATGAAGGAAGCCTCGTGAATGTGTCCCTCGCAGAGGTCATGCGGGAGCGGGGAGGGGGCAGGATGTCGGAGCGCTCACGCCTCGGCAGGCACCAAAAATGTTGCGGGAGTGATGGCTCACCTGAAACCCTCCCCGGCAAACGGGATCCTTGGAGGCTGCGCTTCGGGAGACCCAGAAAGGGGGGGGGGAAATCCCTGTTACTATTCTCAGCCCCACGGAAAACCGGCTTTCCTTAGTTCTGCTCCTCCGCACACCCTCGCTGCAGCAGCACATCCCCACCTCCCCGCCTGCGGGGTCCGCTCCTGCACTCGGGGTGCTCGCACAGGGCTGCACCCCGTCCCGCCTGGGTCCGACAAGCACATTAAAGGTATAAATTGCAGCACTGGGCTGGTTTGGAGTATGGTGCACATGAAGGCGCTGCGGGTGGGAGCCGCGTTCCCCACGGATGATCTCCAGCTGCTTCCGGCCTCTTCTCCCTCGCGCTGGATAATTTTGCTGCACCGAGTGTGTAATTATCGCCTCTGTCATCTCCCAGGCTGGGGCGCGGGAACAGATGGGAGGATGTTTATTTTGCGAGTCCCACCAGCTGGGTGCTTGGGGCAGCGGGGAGGGCGAAGGGGATGCAGTGGGGAAAGCAATGATAGTTGTGTTCGGAGGGGAGGAAATGTCCCCCCCGGGGGTGGAATTAGCAGGGAGAAACCTTCTCCCTGCTGCAAGGGGAGGATGTCCCAGTGCTGCCAGCGCTGCTGGCTGGGAAAGGACAAGGATGCCGTGGCAGGCTGGGAGGGGGAATAGCTCTGGCTGAGGGATGGAGAGGAGGTGCAGAGGGGTGAGCTGGCGAGCTGGCTCCTCGCTCGAGGCCAGCAGACCTGGGCTATCATGGACACATCTGTCCCGTCACCCCACGTTGGGAGGCACCCAGTGAAGGTATGTGCTGCAGGACCCAGTGCCCTACCACCAGTTTGGCTGTGTTTGGAGCAGGGAATCACACCGGACCCCCCACGCCGTTCCCGCTGTCACATCCCCTGTCCAGGGATTATTTTCCACATAAGAGGGACAGGGAGCGTTTGCAGCAGCAAGGACCCTCCACACCGGCCCCCATCCCGCCTCGGAAACATCCCGGCAGCTGTGAAGGAGACAAAGAGGGCTTTCTGCAGGGCTGGATTTTGCTTTGTGTCCCCATCCCTCCCTTCTCCCCATGGCGTGCCTTTTATCCAGCTCTCCATTTCTGAGCACCGAGATAAGGAAGAGGGCATTGCCCTCGGCTTTCCAGAGTCCCTTCTCAGCTCGAAACCCCCTTCCCCAGCGCCCTTTGAAATCCCACCGCGTCCCCAAGAGGTCACCGATTAATATGGAGCCGCAAATGCCTCCGTGGACAGAAAGCACTTAAACCAAGTCGTTCGTAACGGCGGCGATGAGCTGCTCTGTCGGAGCGAGGCCCCGGGAGCCGGCTGGCCGGTTGGCAGCCGTTAACGGCACACGGGGATCGTGCAGCCGCCGTTGCTTCTGCAGCGGCACCGAAGGGTTTCCGTGCGTTTGACACGCTCACCTGCGTGCAGCTCGGTCTGGTGAAGGGAGCATTTCACACAGGAGGAGACCCAAGGGACTCCTGGCTCATGGAAATCCAGGGCAGGGAGTGCTATCGGGTGGGTTTGCCTTAGAAACGGGACGTTGGCAGAGAAATTGCAGCTAGGTCAACTTCAGCACAGAGGGATATCTCCTTAAAAGACCTAGAGGAAATCTTCCAGGCCAAAGGATTGGTTTCCTTGCTGAAAAAAAAAAGGAAAAAAGGAGATATAAAGCACTTACAGCTTTCCCTCTCTGCAGGTGACTTGCTGCCATCCTCTGCAAAGCAGGACAAGCTCATGAACTCCCCTGCTTGCCTGCGGCTTCTAAAACCTCCCTCTTGCCCATCGCTCTAGCCAGGCGAACCAGACCTTATGGTTGTCCCCAGCAAGCCGTGGTGGTCACCAAGAAGGGCTGATTTGTGCTGGAAATCTTGCTTTCTCATGTCTGAGCTTGTAAATCTGCCTGGTCCCACCCCAGCTACGTCCGTTGCTGATAGAGGTCCCATGGGCGCAGTGTGAGACTGCGGCCTTTTTCCCAATCCTCCCCATCCCCTTCCCCGAGGGTTGTGTCATGGTCCACGTGTTCAAACCTGCCCTGAAATAAAGCTGAGCCCCGTGGGTTTAACCCTTGCAAACCTGCAAGGTCTTAGACTGATGGGTCATGGAGATCCAAGGACAGACCAGCAAAACACACAGTAAAGGATGGCATTGCAAACGTAGGGAGAAGCAAATAACGCTGGAGCACAGAGCTGAAACCTTGGGCAGAAGCAGCAAAATTGCAGATACTCTTCTGTCCTCTATCAGATAACATGTCACCAGCGGTGCAATGCTGCAATCCAGACCTGCAATCCTAGTGGAAATCCTCTAGTGTTTGTGCTGGAGGTTAGCTCTATTTATATTCTGATGAATGATTTACTTGAGTAATTGGCACACAGCTCCCCTATTACAGATCATAAAGAATTAATCACGAGATTTTCAATGCTCCCCTATCAATTTTATTAGGCTTGATTGAACGTGGTGGATTGGGAACATATGGTATGCGAGTCAGACTCTGCTCCCAGTTACACCCTGGTTAATGCTGGGGACTCGCTCGGCTGCTGATCCTTGTAAATCTGGAGAGGCAGCTGCTCCTTATTTCCATGCCCTGACGGCTCCTTGCATTCCTTTAAATGCCCAGGGATGCACAGAGCAACCAAGATCAACTCCACGTACCTAAATCCTCCAGGAGCCTGAGCTGCTCCCAAACTGAGAGCCAGGCTGGGAAGAGGATGCTTTGCTTCCAGCTCCTCCGTGTATCAGCGTGAGCCAGTAAACCGGAGCCAAATGCTTGGGAGCTTGAAATCTGCCCCTAGAGCAGTTGTCGAACAACAGCCCCTGCGAAGGGGATGTGTGATGGCGTGGGAGGCTTGTCGCTGTTGAAAGCTGAGGATGCCTGTGTTGGCGCTGGGGCGTCCTGCCAGGCAGGTTTGCCCACGGGAGATGCTTTCTTGAAAGAATTAGCAACAAGAAGTCCTAAAACTCACAGGAGCAGGATGACACATCCCTGCCCCGAACAAGCAGCATAGTGTGAGTCCATGGAGCAGAATCCTCCCTAAAAGCCACGTCCCCTGCGTGGTTCCCCTCATGCAGAGAACCAGAAAAACCTCCACAATTTCCATGTCGAAGGCTCACAGTCCTTCCCTTGCTTTGTCGCCTGTGGGTGTTGTTACCATGTTAGCTTATGTGCGGAGTCGTGATGCAGGGAAGGGGATGCTACGGGGCCCTGCTCCAGCTCGTGGGCAATGCTCACCGCTGGTGAAGCTGTCCCTGCTGTGCTCCCAGTAACTACACCAGTATCTCAATAGGTATTTACACAAGGGAATCGGAACTTTGGATGTAGATGGAGCTACTTGCATAAGCCCAGCTTATCTTGAACCAGGTTTGCAGAGCAGCCAGTCTGGCACAGCTACAACCCACGTCCCCATCTGCTGTCTTGAGCAGCTGCATTGAAGGGCACTGAGAAGTTATTGCCAGTAACTCTTGGCAGGAGCCAGAGAGGAAACCTCCCTCCAGGGAGAGCTGATCTGGGGAGGGCAAATCAGAAAGGCAGCAGAGGACAGAGCAGGATCTGTCCTTCCTGCAGGCAAAGGGGAATAACAACGGCCCCTTTGCCTTTACAGTCAAAACATTTTGTGTACACAAGGTCCCGGTTCAGGAGCAGAGCGGGCAGGACCTTGCACAAGGGTCTTGCCAAACATCAGTGTGCCCCGATCACCGGGGGCTGCCCGCACCTAAACCAGCTCTCCAAGGCCTTACCACATCTGTGCCTCTGGGTGAACACCCCTCAAAAACACCCCAGGCTCTGTGAACCCCGCAGCTGCCTCCAGCTACACCTTACATCAGCAGCTCAGAGCTGGGGAGCATCCCCGCGGGTCTCGCTTCGGTGCTCTGCCCTGGCAAGAGCCACAGCTGGCATTGCTTTAACCCAGGGCATCGTGCCCTCGTCACGCATCAGTGGGGAGAACCACAGAGGCGGGGGGACAGACACAGAGACACTAAGGTGCATCCTTAGAGCCTCAGCCTATTTTCAAGGAGCTCTGGTGCCCCACGGAGCCGCGTGTGCAATGGGCGATGTGGGAAGGAGCAGCTTCACTGTTGGAGGAGCTTCCTAGCATCTGCGGTCTGAACCCGGTGGAGACAACACTTAGGGAAGGATTCACAACAGCTTCCCCGTTCCCCGAGGCCGCGTTCATCACCAGCATGTCTCTAATGAAGCGGAGGCTTTACTTTCTGGGATCAATGAATCCACCGATCGTGACCTGTCTGCTAAGTGGGAAATCAGGTCTCTTCCTCCCCGAACTCGTCTGAGCTCAGCTCAAACAGCAGGCTCTGTCCTCAGGGTACTCTATGTTGCTTAATTGCAAACCCCGTGTCTGATTAGAGAGGAGCAGTGAGGGTGTGCAGAAGCCCTTGCGACGGCAGCCTGGCAGAGCGGTGGCTGCTCACCCAGCCTGGGAGATGGCTGCCAGGAGGGAGGAAGTTTCGGGGGGCTCCAGGAGGGTAGAAATCCCCCCTGGCTTTCTTTTCTCTTAAAGGTCCTGTCCTGACTCTGCACAGCTGACTGGAAGGTTTATTCCCAATCTGCTCTCCCCCCAAAGCCCTAAGTCCCTCAAACCATTTAAATCCCTCCAATCTACCTTTTCCGCTGACAGATGCTTTAAGAGTAGCTGAGGCTTCCCAAAGCAGGAGGCAGCTGAAAAAGGTCACTGCTACCATGTCCCCTGGCTACAAGCAAGTCTGGAGGGGGAAACAACCCCCGTCGTCCCCTGGGTCCATCCAAAGAAGCTGGGCAGCTTTCCCTAACGCTGCCTGCACCTCCCAGTCCTCTCTGCACCTACAAACCACCCTGTGCACCCCCAGCAGCTTCG